TATCGTTCAACGTTTTATATTACTAACGCTATTTATTTTGTGAACCAAGAATGTTGTTGTTATATGTTGTTGTATGTTGTTCGTTGATTATGTTGTTTGATTATGTTGTTGATTAATTGTTCGCTCGTTTAATTGTTCGTTCGTTTATTCGTTCGTTCGACCATGAGAATGCCCGTTCGATGTGGCAACTCTGTAAATTGATGACAGAGGGAATTGGGGGATCTCAACATAGTACCACAAATTCCCCTCCTTCCGTGAAAAAACAAAAGCAAGATCCTTTCGGAATTTTAGATAATTTGTACTAAATAGCGGAATACTTGTAGTTCCTAATTGTAAAAAGTACTTGTCTTAAGTAATGTTGCACAGTGCATTAGTTAATAAAGATTTCGCTCTTCTAAACGGATCGTGCACACATGAGATTTTTAGATAAATGTTATTTATTGATTCGGGCTTTTGTGGCTGTGCATTTACAATGTACCATGTATTTTATTAAAACCGTTACCATTGGTAACGATCAAAATCTTAGCAAAATTTTTTCTCCGGCTTTCAGCATCGTTAAACTTTTTCACTATCATCTATTACGGGGATAACATATTCGCTAAAATGATTTAATTTATTACGTGATCAGTGCGTACTGTTTTTATTGGGGTATATTATATATTGCAGGGGCATCGATCAAGGCAGGGGACGATTAATGTGTGACAATCAGGGCATCACACAAAAATGTCACACTCTGGTGATCTACACAGACCACACGTGATATTTTACATGTGGCTTTCATTTATTAGTAACGCAGACTCCCGAAATATATGCAGCTTCGTTTTGTGGGCAGTTTCTATTCATGCACAATCAGGGGGTGCGAAATATATTTAAATAATTGGATTTTCAGTAAAACGTTGTAATCAAAATTCGTTCCAATCATCAGTTGATATTTCGATGATTTGATTGATATTTTTTTTAGTTAATGATGATCTGCAAATATAGATAAATTCAATGTAAATGGCGTGCACAGATTGTTTAATTGTAAATTACCACATTCAGTAAAATTACTATTTACCATATTCAGCATGATATTGAATATGATATAAATTACCATATTGAGCATGATGTAAATTACCATATTGAGCATGATGTAAATTACCATATTGAGCATGATGTAAATTACTATATTGAGCGTAATGTACGATGATCGGTGATCGATCAATAAACAATGCTATGTACGTATTATCATATTTTTTTTTATATAAACGTAGCGAACGGAAGTATGTTTCAACAGTTTTTTTAAAAAAAACTTAACCTTAATATTTTAAATATCAAATGAGTGAAGTATCTGTAAAAGTCAGTGGTTCTGATAGCGAAAAAGATGATATCAATTTTAAGCCACCACATAACGGTGAACCTATTACTAAGATAGAAATATCACCGGAAGAAAAATACCTTGTTACCTATAGTCTTAGTGATCATTCAATTTTCTGTTGGTGTATCGCTAAAGGCGAACTTGAGTTAGACAACTACCGTTATGACGTTCCTTTTATTGAAACAAATGATTCTGAACTTTACAACAAAATGGAAAAAATGTGTGTTTCTGATGATAAGAAACTTGCATATGTTTACAAAAAAGATTGCAGCAATTATTTAGGTAAATGTAATTATTAAATTTATTTATTTATTATAGTAACTAATGTTTTGTACATTTTATTAGAAATAATCGATATGAACAATAATAATAAAGGAATTAAACTAGATTTGGATCACGATGAAATTGAAGGATCATATAGGTATTGCACCTTCAATTTAAAAAGGGAATTTATTTTATTTAGTGAATTTTGTAGTGATGATAGTGGTAAATACATGAATATGATTTGGATTTACTCCACACAAACAAAAAATAACAAATGGACATGTAAAAGAATGTACGAGATACCCGAAGATTTTAAATTTATTAGTGTATCTAAATATAGTAAAATTTATTTATTATTTTCGAATAATTACATTTATGAATGGAATCTTCTTACTGAAAAAATTACAAGTATGTTTTGTAGTTACGAGGAAGTGATTAAGGTAAAATTATTCGTTTAAAATTATTAAATATATTATGCATTATAATTAACAATTATTCATTTTGCACTTAAAGCCAGGATTAATCAGAATTTCCAGCAATGAAAAGTTTGTTTGTCTAATAATCGAGGATAAAATTATTATTTATTCGATTGAATTAAATATCCCTAGTATTACTTTACAGACTGGAGAAGTTGAAATTCAAGAGAAGGACAAAGAACAAACCAATGTTCAGACCTCTGGTTTTATTAGTTTATTAGATATTTTGCATCCCTTATTAAATAATAAAATCTATGATTCAATTATGGCATATTATCATGAAGACTGTAGAACAGAAAGTTTATCAAAAATAGCACAAGATACTAAATCAATCGAATACATAATTGGAAATCTAAATGGTTCTATTCTAGATGGTCATATTCTGAATATTAGATTTAAGGTTCTTGTTGATAAGCTTGAACATTTAAATGTTCATTCATTTAGTCTATATGCAGATGATATAAATGATGAAAATCTTCAAGAGATGTTGATTGAATGCTTAGTTGGTAATCCAACCGACCTATATTTTGGTGATAAAAATGAGGATAATAAGTTTTCTGTTAATTGTGACAAATGGGAAATAAATTGGTCCACTGCCGGCGAAATTGAGATTTGGTTTTTAAATAATGATGAGTCGAGAATTATAAGAGTTCAAGATTTTATTCATTCAGCAAGAATGAGACATACGTTATTCAAGAACAATGATATATTATTTGTATCGCATTGTTCATCATTAGTATATGTTTCCATTTATCATTTTAATGAAAACAGTAATAAAATTTCATTAAGTCATTTTCACTGTTCTGAAGCTGAAGGATTTTCAATATCTCCTTTACTTTTACAAAATGATAATAGTTTTAAAAATTGTGATGAATGGATTTCTGATATTATAAATAATAAGGAAAGCCTTTTGAGATATGGAGTTGAATTATTCTCATTCGCAATCAGAGAACGTAATTTCAAATTAATAGATGAAATTTATAAGAAATGTATACTTTATTTTAATGAAGATTTACGAAATAATAAGGCTTTTTTAGGTATTATTAGTATTACAATGCCATTATTAAATGAGCATTATCCAGAGTTTATTTTAAAATATTCATTAGAGACAAATATGATTACAGATTCTCAGTTTTATAATATAGATGATAAAAAGAAAAATTTACATCTTTATTCAAATAATCCTCAAATTATTGATTTGACTCGATCTATTTTATGGTTTAAATACAATATAATAATGAGCGATGTGTTTAATGATACTTTTTGTAATTTACTTTTTCTTTTTATTATGTTTTTAACTCTTCCTATTTTACCCATTTTGTTTTTTATAATTTATTTATCGTTAAAATATCATTTTATTAATGATATCAAATTTAAGAGAACATTAGCTGGCAGATTTGTTCAATTATATTTTGATGTTGCTGAAAAGTTTGAAAAGTTTTCAAAATATATATCTACATCAACAATTACACCGACAATCATTTTTATGATTCCTTACATTAAATTTGTTAATTATCCAAAAGATTATAATTGGTTTTTGGAATTAATTAAACCTCAACCAAGTCCTTTTATTGAAACAATAAATGAAAATATTTATAAAACATGGAATGGAGAGGCATTAATTAATTTTAAATGGAATGCCTATGGAAAATATTACTACGCAGTAATTTGGATTTCATTTATGGTTTTACTTGGTTGTTTCACTGTTGCTGCAACAGTTCCTCAACAATATATTGACAAAAATATTCAAAATCAACTTTTTATTACTTCAATAATACTTGGATTTATTCATTTGAGTTTTGAAACTCGTCAATTTATTTATTCACCTAAAAAATGGATTCGTGATTTTTGGAATATATTTGGTATGTAAAATTTTTTTGTTTAAATAAATAAATTACCACGCACATATATTAATATTATTTATTATATTATCTAATATAGACTTAATTGCATATTTACTTCCAATAATCACTTCTATTAAATGCCTTCAAACAAATGATATGAATGATCATATAATTCAATTGCTTTCTTTTTCATGTCTATTTTTAGATATAAAATTTTTGTTATTTTTTAGAGCATTTGAATCTTTTGGTTTATATTTTGAAATAATTATTAATGTTGCAAAACAGATTATTTATTTTTTATTAGTCTTATTTATTATTATAATAAGTTTTGCACATGCATTTTATATTTTATTATCACCAAGATCTGATTATTCATTTGATCAATATACAAAAAATACTGATCCTAATAATCCTTGGAATATGGCTCTTACTCTTAATCAAGTATTTGATAATGGGACTATGGATTCATTTTTTATTCAAAAACCAGATGAAAATACAAATATGTTTATAAATTTTGGAACTGCACTTTTAGCAATGTATAAATTCCTAACAGGTAAGTCAAGAAAGAATGAATACATTATTTTGAATTTCCAATATAATTTACTTAACTTTTTATAATCAAATATTACTAGGTGATTCAAGTGCATTATCCAATTGGTCATATTTCAATAATCAATCACTTGTAATATTGATTGTCTTATTTTCACTATTGGTTGTTGTATATCTTATGAATTTGTTTATTGGATTACTCAATATGGCAATTAATAAAGATAATGAGAGGGTCTCATATTTAAAGCAGAAGGCTGAGGTATTTATTAGTAACGTAGTATCATTTCCATTTTTTTTTGTAAAAGTGTTTAAAATTTCTCTTTTCCTATAGGTTTTGGCTGAAATCGAGTTATTTTACCTATTACCAAATCAGAGACGTTGGGAATCATGGTTTCCTGAAGTAATGTATGTATATTTTTCTTTTATAATAGTATAAAACCAAACTTTTTTCTGATTCTAATATTCCATATAATTTGTTTTATTAAGATATTATTATGCCAATGCCGATAAGACTCGTGAAGAAATTAAGAGATTGATTAGCAGCAATGAATGGAACGCAGATGCATTTCCGGAAATGAAGAAAGATTTATTTAAAAAACTTGATATTCCAGATAATGTGGAGAAGATTGATAAAATTGACGCCACATTAAAGAAATTGTTAAAAAGAATAAAAAAATCACAATCAAGACCTATATTTGGTGGTCGTCTAAGGCGGAGTAGATTTAACCGCATTAAGAAATTACGAGACGAATAATGAGATGAAATAGGAAAAAAAAAAATGAAAAGCGTGGGGGTGTGACAGATGGTTCAAATATTTATTATCACGTGATTCTACTCCGTAATTTGATCACTAATTTTAATTTATACTGTTTGTAATAAATTATATACGGTTTCTGTTAAATATTTAATAATATAAAAATATTTTTTACATACTGTACATCGATATAATGATAATTTCTTGTAATTTTTTTTACGTCGGTTACGCATGTGATTGAGTCAACCAATATAAGGTGAGGTGATATAAATTTGGTAAAATGATATAAAAATTGGCCAATAGATATAGACAATATTGGACAGAATTTCCGAATAGGTATATAAAAGTGTGAGGCCTCCCGGCCTCTTTCCCAATATAGAAACTTCTTTGCCAAATTAATTTGCAAAGAAATCAGCCGCTCTTTATTAAAAATGTTCAGTTTAATTAATTAATTTGCTAGTACCAATTTCATTTTTTTGGGGTAAACGTGAGAATCAAAAGCAAAGATCTGATTTGTTATTTTTTAACGTACTGTAATCTACAATTATTTTTGATGTGCGCAGTAAAATTTTCCTTTACACATTAATTAGGTTATTCAAAATTATATCAATATCAATATCTATATAATATAATAAAACAATTCGTTTAGAAGACCTGTACATCTAATCCAATTCCGGTTAATGAAATTTTAATCAGAATTTTTTTTTCCTTTTCTTTCGAATTATTCGAATTATTATCCTTTTTTTTCGGTACTTATTTTTTTTTCAATTTCTTTTCCTTTTCGGTTTCTTTTTTTCGGTTTTATTTTTCAAATTTTTTTATTTTTATTTTTTTATTCTTTTTTCCGGTTGGCTTTTCTCAAATCTGAAATTTTTTTCCTCTTCCTTTTTCAGCTTGGCTTTTTTTTTCAAGCCGAATTTTTTTTTTCCGAATACATTCTTTCACCATTTAGGTTTGGGTCGATGCTGCGGCATCACGACGATTACCTATTAAGTTTTAATAATTTTAATATCAGAAGAGTAATAATTTACAATAAAAACTTTTTTATAAATTCCCGATTCTTATTATTATTAATAATAATAATATTTTTTGGGCTGTATCAAGCTCAATAATAGACTAATATAATTACTTATTTATTTATTTTTTGTAACAATAGATCGTTATAATTAATATTTCTTATACATGTATTTTTTTTGGCAGAAGATGTAATTTTTTTTAACGCTACAATGAAATTTTTTAAGATAAAAAAAAAAAGGTTTTTTGTTACAATGGAATAAACTACTTATACAAAATTATCACTTTTCCTCATAACTTACAAAATAAAATTTGCATTTAATAATATTTCATATACTGTTTAACACTTGCACACAATTCATTGTTATTTGTATAATGTGTAATTTATTATATTTATTTCCTACTAATACCATCATAATAATAGTAAAAAACTAGACCTATCAATACTTCATGGCAAATAAAATATGTTATTATTATTACTCTCTTACTTGATGGGCAAGTTTCATTCCCGGCGCAGCGCGACGGGTTACGCCTAGTTTTAGTATTAAAAAACCACGATATCACAATTTATCATTGAAAAAGGAAGGTTTTAACCAAAAATAGAAGGAATGATCACGATTATTAATTTTTTTCGGGCCGTATTATTTCCGATACAATGATCTGCGTTATGTTTTTACAGTATTTGTTATTTGTTATTGGCGAATTTTTATCGCCGTTTTTCTCCGAGGATATGCATGTTTTTAATGGCTGTTTTATGGTTGTTTACGTAAGAAACCTATAATCTTTATTTTACTAGTAGAAGAATTTTTGAAATTTTTTTTTCAAATTTAATTAATATGCGAAAATTAAAATTCGTAATTGCACATGGGCCAATCTAAATTTAGGATTCATTTGGGGACACACACAGCAAAACAAGGGGATAGGATCTAAAAATTTTTTTTTGAGATTTCATTACAACTGTAATTTTTGGATAAATTGGAGCATAATTATCATATAAACTTAAGAAATTTTTTTTTGAGGCTATCCCCTTGTTTTGCTGTGCTTGTCCCCATTTATTGTAACTTTTGTCTTTTGACATCAAAAATAGATTTAATTTATATATTTAACTTTTACTATTTTTTAAGCATATGATAGTTATGATACCAGAATTTTTTTTTTTTATTACTATTTGTGTATTTGTAAGTATATTTTTGAGTATGACAGGATTCTTAATTTATAATAATCATTTATTATACTATGTATCGTCAAATTTCTGAGAACAAAAAAAATTACTATTGAATGTAATTATTACAATTATATTAGTATGACGATTTTTGTACACTTATATAATAAGTTTTATAATCTTAAAATTTTTCAAAAATTAAGCTTGTTTATTTTTAAATTAACACTTTTTTTTATTTAGATTCTACTTAAATAGAGCTTTTAATTCAGTTTATTTAAATAATAGGGTGTTAAAATTGTTTGAAATTTTGCGCAGTGAAATCCGACACATTGGGCCAATCTGTTTCAATAGAAAACTTTTTCAAAAATTTGGTATATTATGGAAAACGTGACTGCTTATTAGATCAGTGCATCGGAAAAAATATGACCCGAAAAATTCATTTTTTCTACTTTTGGCTAAATATTCCCTTTTTAGTAACTTATTCATGGCATATTGAATGAAAAAAAAAAAAAATTTTTTTTTCAAAAAAATTTTTCAATAAAAAAATTTCTAAAATAACCAAATGGGAACTAATCTTAATAATTTAAATATCTCGGATAAAGATACTGATACAATAAATACCAAAAATTGTTGCAAACCACTTACTGAAGAATTATGGTGTAAAGAAAGTATTAATTCTTTAGAAAGATCAGCAGAAAATGGTGATAAAGTAGCAATGTTTAACTTAGCCAATAGATATAGAGATGGAGAAGGAACAGAAAAGGATTTAGAAAAAGCCTTTTATTGGTATCAAAAAGCAGCAGAAAAAGATCATATTGGAGCAATTAATAATTTAGCCATATGTTATTATAATGGAGAAGGAACAGAAGAGAATTTAGAGAAAGCCTTTCATTGGTTTAAAAAAGCAGCGGAAAATGATCATACTGGTGCAATGTATAATTTTGCCATATGTTATTATAATGGAAAAGGAACAGAAAAGAATTTAGAAAAAGCCTTTCATTGGTATCAAAAAGCAGCGGAAAATGATGATAAAAAAGCAATGAATAGTTTAGCCATATGTTATAAAAATGGAGAAGGAACAGAAAAGAATTTAGAAAAAGCCTTTCATTGGTATCAAAAAGCAGCTGAAAATGGGGATGAAAATGCATTGAAAAATTTAGCCATTTGTTATTATTATGGAGAAGGAACAGAAAAGAATTTAGAAAAAGCCTTTTATTGTTATCAAAAAGCAGCAGAATATGGTAATAAAGTAGTAATGTATAATTTAGCCATATGTTATGAAAATGGAAAAGGAACAGAAAAGAATTTAGAAAAAGCCTTCCATTGGTATCAAAAAGCAGCAGAAAATGGTGATGAAAATGCAATGAATAGTTTAGCCATATGTTAT